GGGTGTTTGGGTAGTTGTTTTTTTGTTTGTTTGTTTGTTGTTGTTGTTTTTTATTTTGGTGGTTTTTTAACTACATTTTATGTGATGGAGCGGTTAGACACTTCCCCGTCGTAAGTCCTCATAGCCCAGGCTGGACATTTCAGGCGGGATTGAAACTCACCTCTTTAATGACCTAACTTGTATCGATGGGGGCGAAAAAACCCACTTACTCTCTCCAACAATTGTCCTCTTTATCGTTTTTTAAGTGATGACATCACTCAGAGGTGAGACACAAACATTCTGTATTGCAACTTCAAACAGTTTTTACGTGATCTATGCATGTTATTGTCATCTCACTCACTAACGACAAAAAAATTATTTCTTTTTCGAACAGGTGTGTAAAGATAAAAGTTGTGGTTGAGCAAAAAAGTCAGAGAAAGAGGCAAGCAATGGGCAACAAAAAAATAGATAAACAAAACATGTTTACAATGTACAGAGGGATGCTTTCCTTAACCCCTTTACTGCTGAGACGTCTATCAATATTAGTATAGACAAGATAAAAAGTGAATCGAAGAGAGATTCAAACAAAATTATAGTATAAAATTGTCCTCTGATTTAAGAACAAGCAACAGCATAAGCGGTAGTATCAACAGCTTAAAAGCCAGTTTAAAAAGTGCGTGTACATTGAACCAGTTTCATCTCCCAAACCTTACTCTATAGGTATTGTTTTTCTTCCAAAAAATGCATTGAAACTATTTTGTGAACCACAAGCCAGTGCATACGTCTACCCAACAGTGAAGGGGTTAATATAGGTGTTTTATATCACTGCCGACACAATTTAGATCATTCAGGAGGTGATCTCCAACCCTGCCTGCCTAGCCCAGTCTGGGCCGAGAGGGAACACGTTCCGACAGATGACCGAGATAATGTACTCGATACAAATTCTCCCCGCACAGGAATCAAACTCGGGTCTCTGGGTCTTCTGTTTGTGACGGCGAAACGACTGTTACACCCGTTTCGTTTATTTTTGGTATGTGTTTTACCGGCGTTCGCAACTGCATAAGGTTATATTATGACCCTGTGGGACACATTAGACATTTTCAATTTGGTAGGAACTAATTTTGGAGGTCGAAGACTACTCTTATTGATTTTGAACCACCAAGGGATCTTTAACGTGCGCCTTGTGCACACGGGACCCCCGAGCTTTTTCGCTTTTTTCCCGAGAAGGCGAAGTGTTGGATCTTACCTACCTTAAGATCAGAGGTGTGGCTGAAAGACAGTAGTAAGAAGGAGCCACGGAGTAGCAGTAAAAAAGCATCGGACAGAGTAAGGGGCACTCAGGAAGGGGCAAAGGGGACGAGGGGTGGGGGCTGAAAGTGGAGACGAAAACACACGACAGAGCATGATAAGAGAGCAGAAAAGGGGGTGAAAGGAGAACATGTTCCAATGTTGTAGGGTTTCGAACCCGGGACCTATTGAATGAGAGGCGAACACCGTAACCTCTAGACCATGCGAGCCTCTCTAACCCCTGTACAAAGGATCACAACCCGCCTTTTCAATTTTTGAATATTGAAATGACACTGCCCTACACGTCAAAGGCAATCTCTTTTTTCCTAAACAACAGGTGAGCTCCTTTGACACTGTTAAATTTTCCTCTCATAGGAAGTGAACACCCATCTAATTTTTCCGACTTTAAGTCTTTAAGAGGGGGTGCTGATTCATAAACCCATCTCAGTAACTATATGGCCTTTTTAGATAAAGCCTTGTAGCAAGGAGATATAGCAGGGAAACATTATTTTATGTAAAATGTAACTTTTATTTTTTGTTTGTTTTAGTCTACGGTTGCAATGGTAACAGCCGCCATATTGAAAATAAACAGCTTTCATGAAAGTTAAAAGAATTTTTTATTTACTAACCAAATTCATTCAAATTTGGTACCTTGATAGATATACTCAATACAAAATTTCATGCTGTTGGAATCTTGAATATCCAGAATCAGAAAAAAAGTTAGAGATGGATAACTGACCTACCCTCTCATGCTTCTGAATTCCCTAAAATTCTCTCATTTCACCTCTAGCAATGTTCTAATGTCTGCTTTCGTCTCCACTTTCTACCTCCTCCCCTCCCCCCCCCCCCCCCCACATCACCCCCCCTTTGGCTCCTGACTTTTTCTTCAGCCTTCCTACTGCTACTCCTTGGCTCCTTCTTACCGCTGTCTTTCAGCCACACCCCTGATCTTATGATAAGTAAAAATCTAACACCTAGCCTTCTAGGATATGGGCAAAAAGCCTCTGAGCTCACGTTTTCAAGTTGCACACGTTAAAGATCTTTTGGTGGTCCAAAATCTCTCAGGTCCCGTGTGCAGGTTGCGCACGTTAAAGGTCCGTCGGCGGTCGAAAATTGATATGAATAGGCTTCGTCCTCCACAAAGGCAAAATTCAAAATTTCCTACAAACTGAAAATGTTTAATGTGTCCTGCGCGCTCATATAACCATAAGAAGTTTCGAGGGCCGTAACCCTCCCCCCCCCCCCCCCACCAAAAAGAATAAATAAATTTAAAAATTTAATTAATAAATAAATAAATAAATATAGGTGGTGAATGAAAAACAAAAAAGAAATGATGCATAACTAACTTTTTATCCGCTCTCATTTTTCTCGTCAACTCGTTCACTGTTTGAACAGCCACCATCATTTGGCTACTTCCCACCTACCTACGATTCCGTTAAGCTTTTGGTGTACATAATGGATCAGAAACAGAGTATAATAATATGGGAGAAAAACAGTTGGTTTCTTGCATAGCACCCCTATACTTTTCACTCTGCTCTACAAAAACAATAAAACAAAAGAAAAACCCTTGACACAAAAGATAAGCACTGTAAACATTGCTCTTTTGGACGGGAGTATGGTATAAAAATGGCAACGCTCACTGTTCACTCGTCATATACGCTCGTCAGTATGAAGGTAAGTAGAAACTCGTAATAAGCAAATGTTTGTGAAAATGGTATGGACTTCATGGCTATTATTCTCTTTTGTAAAGATTATATACCACAGGCTTGTAGTGTCTCTTTGTAAAAGCGTTATTTTAATAGTTTTTTGTTTGTTTGATTTGGGATTTTTGTTTGTTTGTTCGTTTTGTTGTTGTTGTTGTTTTTTTCGTTCTATATCTGTTTTAGACTAATACTGTTTAGACCCAAGCTCAGAAAGAAATTGAAAATAAAAAGCCTTATTTGTGATTCGGAAATTCCGACTTTGTTGAAATTATTAATTCGCCTGACATTTCATATATAAAACAAAAAATAATCACGGTATAAACCTATAAAAGGGGAGATAAGGGGAGAACGCATGTACGCGTACAAGGTAGAAATGAAGAACGAATAAATCACACCAAAAGCGCCCGCCAATCATAATCTCTTGGAAAACGAGAACAAAATTGAGAAAATGTTCTAAACATAGCATTGTAGCAGGTACAGTATAGTCTAAAGCATCTAGCCCGCATTAAGCAGATTTAAACCAATGCTTAATTACCTAATCTGGACAATATTCCATACTTATGTACCATTTTGGGTCTTTTTGTGAGGAGTGAGGATTACCCGTAGAAGAATAAACGTTATGCAATATCCAGCTTCGAAATGCACGTACATAAAGGGGGACGGTACGAAGCTGTTAGCTTTTTAAACGTGACAAAAGTGACCGCTGTTTTTTTAACAATGTTGGTATAGGTATCAGTGTTATCAGTGTCAATGGTTATAACAAATGAAATACTGAAACCACATTCGATTAATTTAACAAAGATTTTATGACTCGAAAGGGAAAAATAACCCTACCCTTTTTTAGTGTCAGAACACCACATTTCTCATTCTGAATACAAAGATATGTAGTTTTATATAATCAAAACGGCGTCTGTGGTGCACTGGTTAACTTAAGCACTTTGCCCAAGCGTGCAGGAAACCCAAGTTCAGTTCGTGAGTGAGGAGAACTCTCTATCCAGCGTCCGGTCTTTTTTATTTGGAGCTGTATCCCTCTCATCCCAAGCTGTTCCTGACAAGCAGGGTCGAACCCCGTCTCTTAAATTATCTAAATTGTGTTGAAAAATTGTGAAATGGTATGAGTTTAACGTCCCTATCAACACTATTATAAATTGTGTTGATGGAGGCGTAAAATACATACACTTAAAGAACAATGATTTTTTAAAAAATACACACCGTCTATAACACAACGAGATAATAATATTTAATTGATTTTCTTCTTTTGCAGAGTATCATCCTGCTCCTTCTTGCCGCACTTATTCCGCTTGGTATGTTCATATAATAAGAATAACTAAATTATCTATCTATCTATCTATCTATCTATCTATCTATCTATCTATCTATCTATCTATCTGTCTATCTATCTATCTTCATGTTAGCATTCCTATCCATTTTCATATTTTGGTGGTATTTTTCCTTCTGACGTTGGTATAATTCTGAGCTTTGCGTTAGTCAACTTGTGTTTTATTCGTACATGCATTCGAATAAGTATATATTTAATTTGCAAAACTATTAGGACATCGCACTATCCACTTCATCGAACATGCCTTGACGCTCACCCTGTCCCCGCGGTTTTATGCCCGAAAAAAATTCTGAAATTATGCAAACTAAGCCCAAAAATGTGAAATTACGTGATTCTGTTAATTTTAACAAAGAGTGATACAGGAAAATAATCAGAAATTATTCACAAAAAAAGATCAAATTTTGCTAAATTATGCTGGGTGCATAAAACCCCGGGGACAGCACTCACCTGAATAATATGGTCGCCTGTTCAAACAACCGCATTCCATTTCCTTCCTTGCATTAAAAAAAATATATAACAGCATTACATAACACGATAAAACATCCAACGTATTCGTTGCAACTACAAAAATATTGTTTTATCAATCAAGAACCCAACGCAGATCTCTCATTTTCCTACACTTTGTCGTCATAAAGTACAGTGTGTTTTTAGTTTTAGTAGAGGTTATACGGCGCTCGCAACTGCATAAGGTCATATGAGCGCCAGTACAGTGTGAGTATTAAAGATCGACCCATGATGCCGTGTAGACTAGCCGTCAAAATCAATTCACCTATCGTTATCACTATAATAGTCCCTCCAATGAATGAACCGATCACAATGCATGTGACCCACTGTTTACCTAAGTCGACCAGTCGATAACACATTAATTCATTTTCAGCTGCTGATGAAGGAGGTGTTTGGATTCGTCATAACATTTAATAAGCCCGCCCACAATACTCGTTTACAGTAATATAGATAAGTGAGACGAGCAGTCATTTTATTTACCTACTCCGTAACAATGGACGTCAATGGCTTTTTTGAATTTGCTTTACGGCAGTCTTAAGCCTGAGATCAGCACCGGTTTGGACCTCTGTTGCCTCAATTAAGCTTGAGAGTTCTTCGAAACTGAAAAATAACATATTCTGTGCCTTTAATCATCGGTTGCCAGTAAAATTCACACGAAATTGGGTTTTTATATGGACATAAAGGGTGTTGAGCTAAAAAAAAGAGCCCAATAAAGATTGTCAAACTGGCGAGAAAAAAGTGTGTTTCTTCCTTTTAATTATTTTGACGAACGCCTGATTTCACCACAATGCCTCACAGATTATTCTTTGGTCCTTATTGCAGCTGACAGTCGATTGTCGGTTTCTGGAACAAAGTTCAAATTCAACAATGAGACTGTGTTCCTCTCTGGGGCTAATTTGGCCTGGATCAACTACGGGTACGATTTTGGTTTTGGATATTGGACAAACACCAAGCCCAAGATTGAGGAGCAGTTCAAGCTTTTGAAACAGGCCGGGGGAAGCACTATGCGTAAGTCAGTGTGAAAGGTTTTTGTTGTTGTTTTTGTGTTGTTTTGGGGAGTTGTTTTGTTGTTGTTGTTTTTTTGTGTCTTGTTTGATTTTTCATTTTTGTGTGTTTTTGTTTAGTTTTTGTGTTGGGGTTTGTTTTGTTTTTGGCGCTTGCAACTGCATATGGTCATATAAGCGTACGGGACACATTGAAGATTTTCAGTAGGGTGTGGAGTGGGGAGGGGTGGGGGCAAAGTGGAGACGAAAGAAAGCGACAGAACATGGTTAGGGAGCAGGAAAAGAGGTGAAAGGAGACAGTCTTTTAGAGAAGGAAAGGTTCCATTGCTATCAGGTATTGAACCTGAGAGCTACTGAATGAGAGGCGAACGCTATGCCCCTAGTCCACGAGATCGAGCCACCATGAAAGGTTCACTGTAAGCCTAAATCAATACGTGTCGATCTTTTTTCATAGCCAATGCACACTGTTATGTATTATTACACTTACAGTATGGTTACATTATCATTAAAATACATAATATTATAACATTTTTGGGAGTGTCAATACGTTTATGAAATATTTATGTACATGAGAATGGGAACAATATATAATATATAATAATTATCACATTTACTGGAGTCTGGTGTGGATAATTTATGAAATTACACTACATTTAAATGAGTGGGGATGCAATTATAAAATGTAATTACTTTTATGGGAGTACTGATACATTTATAAAATGTTATCTGAAATAGTATTAAATTGTGTACGTGAGAATGGGTAAATGGCAATTGCTAAATATCACATTTATGGGAGTGTTGATGTTGATAAATGCATTAATTATGCGAGTAGAGATTCTTTATAAATTATAGAGATCATACGAGTATGTTTAGGATTATGGCTACATTCATAAATTGTCATTACATTTACGGGAAGGTAGGTAGATTTATAATATTTTCATTTACGTGAGTGTGGTTGTATTTATTGAATACATTATATTATTGCATTTACAGGATAGTCGTTATTTTTATAGTATAATATTTATTACATTTACATCAGTGTAGTTACATTCATTACATATTACATTTAAGGTAGTGTGGATATACTTATTATATATTCTTACATTTACAGGAGTGTGGATACATTTTGAGGCTGTGTCGAGTCCACTCTTTGACAACCGTGGTTTTGTAACAGCAGGGGACGACAAAGGAAAGTTTATGGGAGACTTCAAAGACCTGTTTGATACCGCTCTGAAGTAGGTCATAAGCCAGAGACACGTTAATAATTGCACACCTTATGTTTTTGTGAGTTTTTCATGTAGAAGTTTTTACACCCTAATCGAAGCAATTTAGATCATCTAGGGTGCGGGCTTCCGATCCTCCCTGTCAGGGCTAACCAGAGTTGAGAGGGACAGAACATCTCAGCCGAAAGTCTCACATGCTCGATAAAAATCCATCCGACTTGATATTCGAACTTGGGTCTTTTGTGTGCGACAACGTTGCACCTAACCGCTACACCACTGACATCGGTATGTTGTATGTACGAGTTACTAAAATTAGGTCAATAAACTGAAATGCAGTACTCAAACAAACAGACTTTATTATTTTATGTATACAGAGAATGATACATTTTACACTTTTTTGGTGCATTTTTTAAGCAGATTATGCATTTCTTGAATTCTTATGGAAATAGCATTTCATAGACAACTTGCTCAGTGGTGAGTGTCTGTCTCAGTATAGGAAGATGTATATACACATTTCTTTTGTTTGTTTGTTTGTATGTGCGTATTTTTATGTGTGTTTGTTTATACATACATACATACATATTTATATATATATACAAATATAGGGATGTTTGTTTTATGTGTGTGTGTGTTTTTTTTAAGGATGTATGTAAGAGTGTTTCTTTATGTGTGAGTATGTGTGTCTTTGTACATGTGTTTCTGTGTATGTTTATTGCGTGTGTGTAAATACGTGTGCATTTTATGGATGTATGTGTGTGTGTGTGCGCGCGCGCGCGCGCGCGTGTGTGTGTGTGTGTGTGTGTGTGTGTGTGTGTGTGTGTAATGTGTGCTTGCATTGTATGTGTATGTGCATACATGTATGCATACATGTATGTGTGTGAGAAACGTGACTTTCAGATACAATTCGCCATTACTTTTTTAAAGACTATTTCGCCTCAAAACTTCCTATTCATCAGTTTCAATTTCTGAAACATGCCCTTTTTGTTTTTCTTTAAACAATTATATTCCAAGGTACAACATTCTGGTGATTGCAACCCTATGGAACGCCGATTCCAAGGCGAGATTGTTGGGCCTCATTAGGTGAGAATTGCTTTCTCCTTTTGACACCGTACAAGCCTAGTAGTTCCCATCATAATATTGTGTGTGATTGCACTTAATTTGTTAGGGGAAATGCTTGGATGGAGGCACCTTAAGGGGGGGGGGGGGGGGCTACACCCCCAAAATCCAAATTCGGCTCAAAATCATGGAATTTGAGTTGTAGGCATTTTTAGCTTCCTCAGCCTCTCCTACAACTATTTCATGGCATAAGAACCCCCAGAAACCGTATTTTTTTTACCATACTGGGCATGTTTGTAACCACCATTCCTCATAAAGTCAGTATTTTATTTTTCTTTATCGGCCGTTTTCTCAAAATGCGACTTTTCTCTATACTTTTTTGAGTAACTCCACCATTTTTCATTCAATCTTCATGAAATTTTCACAGAATGAAGAGAAGAGAAGAGATAATACTAAAAATTTGTCTGTTGAATTTTTTATATATGGAATAGATTTTTGTTGGTGGTGTCTGGAGTGTGGATTTTCACGGATTTTTCGCAAAATTGAATGCTACCTCAGGAAAAAACTCATTAAAATTTGTCTAATTCGATTAGGAAAAAAACAACAGATAAATTTTTAGATATAATGTTTGTGAACACGCATGCAAAAAAACAATCAATTTCCATGAGCGATAAGTGCGGTATTCATTACGTAAGACATGTCAATGAAATCCAATATGGCGGCGTATCCATGGAAACTAAACTTTTTTCTCAAATTTGATTGCGGATTTTAAGACTCCTTACTGTGCTTGTTATATGTGGGAAATTTGGTAAAATTCGGTCCAGTAATAAGCGAGATAGCCTCCAGGTGTAGCCCCCCCCCCCCCCCCCCCTTAATAATTAAAGCCGGCCTACTTTAAAAAATGTGTGCCTGTTTTGTTTTATTCTAACTCACTTTTTCCAACCCAAAATGGCCTTTTTTGTGTGGGTTGTTTCTCTAAATTCCATTAAACAAACAATTTGTTAGGGGAAAAAATGTGTCATTCATTGCATTGCACGTCCCAATTGACTCCATCTAGACCATGTAGGAGGCAGGCTTTGGTCCTGCTTGCTTGAGACAAACCTTAGAGGAATAGGTACTAGTCCCACGTAAAATAAACTGTATTCTGGATAGAGAATAGACATTTTCCCCAGACGAGAATCAAACTAAAGTTTTTTGTGTGTGACGGTGAAGCTACTTATACTATATAACGGTTACACCACAAACGCTGGTGGATATAATGTTTTACGGGTGCCAACTACGGATGCGATTGGCCGATCGGGGACTCGGTCACCTACAAAGGAAAAGTGTTTGTTTTCAGTTTCACGCGACCGAGTCGGGCGATTGGCCCGATCCCACCGTAGGGGACACCCCGTATTAGCAAACAGGCATGTAATCTTTACGTTCGTTTTTTTTTTTTATATAGTAGATATTTTACGGGTTGCGCAACTGCATAAGGTCATATGAGCACGCTGGACACATAAAACCTTTTAAGTTTGGCAGGAATTAATTTTGAATTTTTCACGGGTAGCGGCCGAAGGCTACTCTAATTGATTTAGGACCACCAAGAGATCTTTAACATGTGCAGCGTGCACAGGGGATCTCCAAGATTTTTGCCCTTATCCAAGAAGGATAAGATGTTACCTTCGCTTAGATCAGGGATGCGGAAGAAAGACGGCAGTAAGCAGGATCCAAGGAGTACAGTAGGAAGGATGCAGAAAGGGCCAGGTTTATAGAGAAGAAAGATTTTCCGTCGCAGTCAGGTTTCGAACCGGGGACCTATTGAATGAGAGGCGAACACCATAACATCTAGACGACGAGACCCCCATTTTTTCAGTCGTTGCATGAATTTTTAGTAGTTGTTAGATGCAGTAAGGGCTGTAACAACTAAAATTAGACAGTACAGTCAAAATTTTTTATACCCTCCCTCCTTTTAGGACAACTGTTTTGTTGTAAGTGTTTTACGGCACTCGCAACAGCAAAAGGCCATTTGAACGCGCTGGGGCAATTTAAACATTTTTTGTTGGTAGGCAAGTTTGAAATATTGCCCGGGTGGCAGAAAGTGGAGACGAAAGCAGACGTCAGAACATTGCTAGAGAGCAGGAAAGGAGGAGGAAGGACACAATGCTAGAGAAGAAAATATGTCGGTCGTTACGCGGATTCGAACCGGGGACCTTTGAATGAGAGGCGAACACTTTAACCTCTAGGTCACGAGAACCCCCTAGGACCACTTTATGTAATACCCGATCCATTTGGAAAAAGTTGGACAGGTAAATTTACTTATTTCGTGCTGTTTTGTTGAAATTTATCTTTTGTCTTACAGAAACACAGCAAAACTGCAAAGCTATATAGACAATGTGCTGAAACCTATGGCAACCCTGGTGAAAGGTCACAGAGCTCTAGGGGGCTACGACATCATCAACGAGCCGGAGGGAATAATATACCGAAATACGGTAAACTTGAGTACCTAGAGAGAGAGACAGAGAGAGGGGGGGGAGAAAGATAAAAATATGGAGAAAGAAGGAGAAATAGAGAGAGTTGAGAGAGTTGAAAGGAGAGATAAGTAGAGAAACGAGAGAGAGAGAGAGAGAGAG